CTGGAGGAAACACTATTTTTGCAGCTAACATTGCGTCAAATAAATACAAACCTATAATCAGGCATCCACTAGAGGGTTTCTATGTGAGAGGGAGCAGCTATGAACCTATTTTTATTATTACTATTTTCCTTGCTGTGCCTTTAAATAGTAGTGGTAGTGGCAAAAATTAAAAAAAAAAAATAAAAGAGCTGGGGAAGAAGGAAGACACGGAGGAGAGGGGGGAGGAGGCAAGAGCTGCAGGAAGCTCCAAGGTCACAAATCGAATCAGGTATACAGCTACAGCCCAGGCGGCAGCAACCCATCAAAAGTTCACACACCATCATTCCAGCTAAGACCTTAACTACGGAAAGGCAGTTAACCTATAGAAACCCCAAGACCTCTCTAGTGACCAAACACTGAGTGACCAGACACTAGCTTCTTCTTCAGCATTTTATTGCAACCCATAGTACGTTGCGAGAAAGTGTATAAAAGTTTCCCTGGCCTTTGTTTAGGGGCCACTCCCTGCTGTTCTGCTTTTCTCTTGGGAGTGACCCGGGCATATGCTTGATAAGAATAAACTTCTCGCTTCTTCCATGTGTGAGTCTGGACTCTCAGTGGTAATAATTTTGGCCTTAACATTTTGGTGACCCCGACATGACAGTTGCCACTGAGACTCCATCCAGCATGGAGTGATTCAAGAGCTGGCTGGCTGGTGAGTTTGGTGTGTGTGTGTGTATGAATGTGTCTGTTCTGTTGTTCTGTTAGGCGCCTGGTACTGGTGGCCCAATAACCTGGTGGACACACTAAAGAAGGGTTTGGGCCGCAGGCTTAGAGACGTCTGGGCCTGCTGGATTGTCTGATTTGGTCTGAACTGTTTTGAGTGAGCGTCAGGCTCACTGATCTGGTGGGGACCGTTATCTGAGGTCTAAGTGGCTCTCAGGCCCACTGGTCTGGTTTGGTGTCTGAACAGAGTTGAGGCCATTACTAGGCCGAGATTGGTTTGTCTGAGGCTGTGGGCGGTGTGAGAATCAGCCCCCCGCTGCTCTTTGTTCGGGCACCAGCTCCCGAAAGGGAGGGGGCATGCGCGCTTGAGCCTTAATCTGCTGTCTGTCCTGATCTGAGGTGTGGGAACTTGATATATAGTCTTTGTTCTAAAACGCGAGATCTGAGAGGAGCATGCGTGTTTGAAGAACTGTTTCACAGGTTTGCCACTGATTCAAGTTACGCCACTAGGTGGTGCCCAAGCACGGTGTAAAAACCTACTGGGACTGAAGCAGGTTTTTAGCGGCATCTGTAAACCCTTAGGGTTTTGCCTGAATTGCACTTTCAAGCATTTTTGCCAGTGTCTCTTGGGAGATTGGTCTCGCCCTAGAACAAGTGCCCCTGAGGACATCTGTGAGTGGGTAGTAGACCTCTTCCTCCAAGGAACCCTGTCAGACTTTACTCCTCCAGAAGTTGCTTTGCTGACATATCTGCTCCTATGTCTTTTGCAGCCCTCAGTGCGTGGGGCGGCCTGGGGCTGGCAATCTTTCTGCTGCTCGTCTTTATGGTCGGTATTGGACTTGGTAGTGCAGCCCCAGAGGACTGGTCCATTTGGGAACGAGTTGCTATAGCCTGCCTCTACTACTTCCTAGCAGCTCTATTTGCACTTCTGATATTTAAAAAAAAAAAAAGAGGGGAGAAAATATGGGGCAGACTCAGGGCACTCCCCTGAGTCTTTTCCTTAAACATTACAGAGATGTCAAGAAAGAAGCAGATGACCTAGGGGTACCTATAAAAAGAAATAGGCTATACGGACTCTGCCAGAAAAATTGGCCAGCTTTTAAGGTTGGGTGGCCGGAGGGAAGTACTTTAGATCGTCCCACGATTTACAAGGTTAAAGATGTGATCTGTGGAGAACCTGGGTATCCTAACCAAGTCCCCTATATCACCATTTGGCAAGTATTAGTAGAGAGACCTGCCCCATGGCTGGAGTCTTTTATCTCTCGTGACCCAGCTGTCCTTACTCTTAAAAACCAGAAGCTACAGAAGCCTTCAGCCCCCCTCAACCTTTCCCTTTACCCAGTCCTGCCACCTTCTGATCCACAAGAAGACTTCCTTGCAACACCACCTCCCTATCAGCCAGCAGAGGGCAGGAATGAGATAGAACCGGTGGCACCTATGGGAGCTGGGGAAGAGGAAGGACCCACTACTAGGAGAAAAGTCCAGAAAGATAGAGCACTTAGAATGGCCCATGA